TATATAACTCCATTAGTGATTATTTTACTGTTTCCTTTCATTTGCTCTTATGACTCTCTTTTATTTCATAAGGGATATTCTATTCAAACTGGTTAAAACAAGAAATAAAATGGTGTGGCGTTTTGAAAACATTTTTTTTTGAAAGCATGGATTTAAGAATTGAGAAGCTAGAAGCAGGTCACGAGCTCAGCAGCTATTAAATAATAGTTTTGGAGTGAAGTAATGACATCCAACCTTAGCATCATGCCAAAGAGAACAGGAAGAAGTACAACCAAGAGTCATCATTGGTCAAGAAGGGGCAAGACTAGAAACTAGAAATAATCCCAGGGCTTTAAATGTAAAAAGAAAAGCTATGCTATTTGACTAAAACCAGAAAAATAATGTAAATACATACTGATAGTCATTAAGTACAGTCCTCTGAAAAGAACTGAAATGCTTGAAATGAATTAGAATTATCACAGAGTACGCCAGTAATAAGAGATCAAAAGAAACTAGAAAATGTAATTTTCTATTCCATAGTATATTTTATTAAAGCTGTACCTAAAATACCTATTAATAATAATTACTTATGATCCCTGCTTATTTGCAAATCATGGTACCTCTATGTGCCTATTTTCTAAGTGTGGCCTGCAAAGGAGGCACAAAGGCGAGAAGGAGCCCCTCCACCGATGTGGCCTTGTCTGACACGAACATCCCCTTCCCCATTACACTCCCAACTCCCTGAACTTAACATGTTATCTCACATGGCAAATCTGCGCAAGTGGACCTGGGAGAACGTCTCCCTTTCCTTGTCTGCATGGGGAAGAGTGTTATACGTTCACTATTCAACCCCTCCCTCGGGCCATGTTCAAATTTTTGGGACATGAGGTGGGACTGGCAGCTGAGTGGCAGATGGGGTCTGATCTCTCCTAGACACTTGTGCAGAGCCTTGGACATTCAGCCCAATCCTTGTGGCTGCAGTTAAGTCTTTGGAAGAGCCCTGGTGTCTGTGGAACTGAGACAAGGCCCTTGCCTTTGTATGAGACCAGGCTCCCATCACTGAAGGGAAATACACACAGAACACTCTCTTCCTTGAACAGGGAGAACAATGTTTACCCGCCATTCTACTTCCCTCGTTTACCTGTTTGGTTTAAAGAAGGAAGAATAGGAGAGCTTCTCAAGACTTAGAAGATGAGAGAGAGCGGGTACGGGGCAGAGCACAAGAGGCTCTCGGAGAAAGTGGGAATGGTTGAAGTGCTAGAAGCAAATTCATCTTGACTCAGTGTCTAAACAAATATGAATGAAACTGGGGCATGGTGGGATGTGTACTGGTGAATACCAGCTGAAATAGTGCTAGGGACCCAAGAGTTCTTTGATATCCCTGTGAGAAATACAGAAATATAAGCCTGCCTTAAGGTTTTTAAAGAGAACAAGCACTAGAGTGATACAAGACCTTACATTTTTGACAAATTGGTAAAATAATTCTTGAAAATAAGAAAATTATAGATCAATATTTTCCACCTTAAAACAAGATGAATCTATAATGCCATAGACAACTTTTTCCAGTAAAAACACTCAGTAATCACTAAGCTTAAATTCAGAGAAAAGTAAGTACTTTATCACTTCCACTATTTTTAACCAACTATTACAGGAACCTCTTATTTATGTTTGATTAAATAATGCTAAGAATTCTGAGTTAATTGGGTAGGCACTGGAATATATTAGCAGACCATGCAACATTATAATTTTTAAAAATGAGTTTGGGGTGGAGTTTTGGAAATAAAAATTAGGCCGATGTATACCAGATAATCACTCCAATATGTATTAGTTACTCAGGATTGTATGAAAATGAGAGGAAGAAATTGTGAAACAATAGTGGCTAACACCAAAGATTTTTATCGTGAAGAAAACGCTGAGATATTATCTTTATATTGTAAATACCATAGGTTTGTTTAAATTTTACGTTTTCAAATCGCAAGGTTGCAATTAAATTGTCTTAATACATATGCATTGTATTTTAAAGAATTCATAACCATTAAAATTTGCAGAACTTCATTGCCTAGGCTCATGTTATCGGTTACTGTAGACTATTTTGCTTTTTGAATCTAATGGTTCTATATGGTAAATATATCCTTTACATGAACATAAGACTTAAACATCAGATTGTCCATATTAACAAAGTGGAACACATTTAAGCAACCATGTAAAAGTAATAAACTATTACTTATCTCTTAGTCTAAATTATTGTTCTTATAACAGAGTGGTCACCAGACTCAAAATGTTACATACTGAATAACATCAAGTTGGAACCCAACTCCCAGGCTTTTGAGGGATTTCTTTAGAAGTCCTGTATTTAAAATCTAAATGTGATTGCTTTTCATTCTTGATGTCTAGATGATTGACTCAGTTCTACACAGTATAGTATTTCAGAATGAAAAGTAGTTTTATTCATTGTTAATTTTTATTGTTATTAATGGCACAGCAGTAAAATTGTAAAATTTTCCACCACCATGTTTCTCAAGGTTCTCCTATGCCATGAATGTGCTTAATTATTCCAAAAGAATCATTGACATTGTGTAAGAAAATAGGCAAAGGAGGAGAACCAACAAAAATTAGACAGCTTTCATATATTAGAAGCCACTAGACAAAATAAAATTTTAGTTGCCAAGAAGTTAAATTGGAAGTTAACACAATTTTAATCTTTCATTGAGCATAAGAAATTATGAAAATACTTTGCTAAATTCTCATATAATGATTGATGGATAAATCTTTACCAATAGGTAAGTATTTATTCGGTGCAAAATATCACTCAGGGGGCTGTTTGTGGGTAGAAATCTCTGATATGAAAAAGTAAAAATCTATCAATGTAAATGTTTAGAGGATTTCAAATGGTTTTTAATATTAATTCATTAGAGAGAGGATATCTTTTTTAATACCCGCAAGAGCTTCTTCAAAAATACACTAAACTTGAACCCACTGATTGACACTTCTGTGACTTATTCTTGCATTTAGATAAGAGTTTCTCTCCACAATAACACTCAAAGTAAATTATAAAACCTGTTGATGGGATATATTTTGGTTTGCCTTTCAAAAATATTTTTATGAATCCAATAGCATTGTAATTGTAAAAATGACTAATGTATATTATAATGTATATTATATATTAAAACCATAGTATAGATCCAGAAACAATTATTAACATTTTTTACATATTTCATGCAAAGAAAAATTCAATATAAATTATATATATTTTATTCTACATAAATATGCAACTTCCATAAAATTTAGGGATACCACTTTTTTACATAGTGTTTTTATAATCCTTTTCCATGTTACTTAATATGCTACGAAAATGTTACCACCTCATTATTATCATGATCAAGAATCTAAAATATGGCAGTATCAGAAACTATTTAATCATTTCTTCTTTGTTGGGCATTTTATAATGTTTATCTATTTGTGCTGCACTAATACTACTTCTGTGTGATTACTGAGAAAATCAAGACAAAGCCTTTCTATTACTCAAAATAAAGACTACCAGATACCAATCATTACTTATAACATCAATCATAATTATTTGTTACCTTTATTATAAGTTATAATTAATTTTCACCTTATAGTTTTTAATGAATTTTATACTTTGAGATTAAGTGTATTTTTATCCAGTTATTTTTATAATTCTCTTATTAATACCTGTCTAAGACATAGAGACCTAAAGTTAAGGAATTGAGGATAATTTTTTTCTAATATTGAATCAAATATCTCATATTAAATATATATTTATTTGTCCAATTATTCTGTCATTACAACATGTGAAATATATGTATGTGCTCAAAACAATACTCTCACCCATATTTAAACATTCTTGAATCTGAGCAGATTGATTTCAGATGAATCTTTGAAATTTTGAGCAGCAGTGCACCTTACTGCATTCCTTTTAGTTTAGACAACAAAACAAAATATTTTACCAACATTTGGCCAGTCCTAGTTATTATCACTTTTCTACACAGATTGTCACCAATGGAGCTAAAACAGCAGCTGTCCACTGGAAATAATTGAGTAAATGTTTTGCCCATTGGACTGAAATCAAACATATGTTTTCCTATAACAACTAACATGTAACTTTCTTTTTTGATATGTGTTAATTATTGAGGAGAGTTAATTACAGAGTTATACACCTGGACTGTCAGACGGGATAAAATCCCGCTCTCTTTGGACCGGGGATTTTCGTATACAGTTCAATGTTTAGTGTTTTAAATATTTGAGGTAGTAAGTGTGTATTCTTGAATAATAATTTCTTTGGACAGTTTTTTAAAATTTAACATTTGTCAAAGATCATGTCTGTACAGAGCAGAGGGAGTAAAGAGCTCACTTTCTCCACATCTAATCAGTGGTAGATACGAATTTAAAAGGCCGTGGCAAAGAGTCTTTAGTTGGGATGACGAGGATTTTCTTTGCACTTATATGGCAGGCACAGTGATAGGCTCCACAGTTTCCCTTCCCTGTATAAATTCTTCAAGCATTTCAATTAGTATAAATTTAAGAAAACAAAAACTGGTGGTGTAGCAAGTGTCAACATTTTGGTTTCTATGTCCACGTTTATTGATATATTATTTTCTTGTATGTGGAGTGCTCATCTAGTTTGCTTGCAAAGGCTTTTCATTAATTTTAGGGTTTCATTACTGAGGCAATCAATGAAGAAGCATGGTCATCTCTCCAGGCAGGTCACTTGAGATGCTTAAAACACTTGCCAGTGTGCTTTTCTGTTTCAGAGCTACAGACAAGGGCTGGCTTTACCCAGAGAGTAGAATTGATGGAGTGTGATTACACAGCATTCAAGATTCCTCAAGATTATGACACCTAAAATTAAACACACAGCTTTCTCCCTTAAATTAAAATAACGATGGTCCCATATGGCTACATTCAGTTTGTCTAATACATTTTCCCATCAAAGTAGAACTGGCTTCTCAGTAATCTCAGTGAATGTACCCTACAGAAAATCAAAACCAATAAAATGTTACCTTCTGTATAGTAATGATTCCTTCCTGTGTATCTTTGTCAACAGAAATCTTGAAAACCCCCAATCCATCACCATCCACGATTCTGTATTCCATTTCAGCATTAGCTCCTATATCCGCGTCGGCAGCTTTGATCCGGGCCACCACCGAGGCCACTGGCAATGACTCAGGGACATTATATTGGTACGATCCTTTAAAATTCAAAACAAAAATGAGCATAATCTTTCAATCAAGCTAAACAAGAAAAAAATGTAATTCTTTAGCTATTTTGCATCATCTTTGATTAACTTTTTATTTTTTTGATAAAGAAGATGCTAAGGCAATATCAGACAAGATATTTCAGGGGGATGATGAGACAATAATCAATATGTGTTAGCAGAAACATATGGTCTGAGAGAAGGCAAGAGAAGAATCTCCATTTCTATAATATATTTCTGGTGGTGGGAAATATGCTGCTTTATATTAAAATTCAATAAAAAGTACTCATACATATAATTAATATGCAAATGACTGTAAACAATTAAATAATTAATAGAATAGAAATATTAAAAAATAAAAAGTTATAGCCAAGGCTTTGAATCAGCAAATACAAGTCTCAGTAGTTCTGAGGACTTAATGTTGGAATTTACATAAAAGTTCCTTTTACTTACAAAGCATCAGAAAAATGAACAAGGAAGTTTATGAAAAGTAACTTTGGTCTTGTTATGGCCCATAAATTTACCAAGGAAGAGAATTAATTGTGGGGGTCATATGCAGGACTGATGGTGTGCAGCAGTACCAGAGCAGAGGCCATATTATTTGAGCAGGAGAAAAGAGAAGCAAAAAAAGAGTGAATACATTTTCTTATTTCTTCTTCTCTTGTAAACATTCCTCTTCAATATCCCTCAACTCAAAAAGGAAGGGAGGAAGGGAGGGAGGGAAGGAGGGAGGGAGGGGGAAGGGAGAGGGAAGGGAAGGGTAAGGGAGAGGGAAGGGAACGGAAGGGGAACAGGGAAGGGAAGGGGACAGGGAAGGGAAGGGAAAGGAAGGGAGAGGGAAAGAAAAAGCATATGGAAAAAAGCTGAAGTACATGGACCATCCCTCTACAGTAGGAGACTCCTCAGCGCACCATGCTCCTCCACCATTTTTCTCTAACCATCCACTTTTTTGCTTCCTCCACCCTAACCCATGTCCTTCAGGTCGTCAAATGCAATGCATAGTGACTGTCTTACAGAGAAGGAGGATTTCTCTCTGAGAGGGATATGGGAAGAAAAATGAGTCTATACAAAACGATCATATTTTAGGCTGAGAATTGTTGCTGTTTGCAATTTTCTAAATTTTGTGGTTAGTGATTTTTAAAGCAATGATTATAACAGACAACGGTGTGGGGAGGACTGAATGCGGGAGGTGGGGGTGGGTAGGGTGGGGGAGAGTAACGGGGGAAAATGGGGACAACTGTAATTGGACAACAGTAAAAAAAGGAAAAAAAAGAATAAAAAAAGAAATGATTACAACATATACTTAGCACTTTTGAGTGACCTTTTTCACATACCCGGAATTGTCCTCAGTAAAACCCAAAATTCTCAAGGTTAGAATAGTAATCAAATGGTAGAGAAATCCCAACAACAACAAAAAAAAAGAAAAACCTAATGACCCATCTTTGGCTTTCTTCACTTTAATAAGTACGAGGAGATCTAGTTAATAAGCTAGAAAACTGGTGTCTTATCAAATCATGACAACTGAAACCACACACATTCTAAGTATCACTTTTTATCACCATAGGCTCAAAGAAAAGAGAAACAAGTTAAATTTATTATGAGCCCAATATAATTACATTATTGTTTGTAGTTTTTAATTCCACAATCCTCAGCTTACCCTTTAAAAGCCATCAAGAGCACAATTAAAGATAGGTTCATTTGGCTTTTTAATGAAAAACTGAAAGCTGTGAGGGTTTTGTTTTGTTTTTGCTGGGGGGTATTGAAATGACTGCTGTGTAATAGTACAAATAATATGTAAAATGAAAATAAAATATCTGAAGAAGCAGTATTTGAAATAAAACAATGATATTCGTATCTGCAGGAAAATCTTCGTTTTGGACATTATTCACTTCTAAGGTCTGTTTGTGAGGGAGCTTAGTTCCCCATTTCTATCAAACAAGCATTTTAAAGACATTGTAGTCTGGACAATTTCCTTACTTTCTTGAATGTTCTGAAGAAGTACCACATACACTTACAAAAAACCGGGCGGGGGGAGTGGGCGCGGGAGAAAGCAACTGAAAGAGAGTGAGATAAAATACTTCTTTACAATCAGGACATCTCTACAAATTTTTTTTCCTACCTTTTCTTGGTGAAGCCAAAAGCCACTCTGGTCAAAGAAGCTAAATTGAGGGCATGTGGTTTTCTGGTTCTTTAGGTTGATTCTTTTTGAAACACTGAGTGTTTGCACAAGAAAGACGTGATAGAACCATAAAGGAATGGTCAACGTGCATGAACTGGTTAAAAAGTGTGGAATAAGAAATGAAAAAGTTCAGTACTCTCCTATTTTGATTTTTCAAAATAAAATATTATTTTATACTAATCATTGCAACAACCATGTAAGTTACAGAATGTTTAAAAATAAGTCTTAGAATAAAAAGTTTATATAAAAAAACATACTGTTTAGTATTCAAATAATGTAAATAGGAAAACCATATATTTAAGAAAGAACACAAATATATGATTGCTTCTATTTATTGTCAATACTCTTCATGTTCTATATTGCTGATTTAAAATTATGTCCCTGATACAACAAAATTGTGGGAGGCTGTAGCAAGAGAATTGCTAGAGAAGAATTCGAAAAAAAAAAAAAAAAGCCCTTTTTTAAAGACAGTTTTATGGGATGACCAGGAAAGCTAGTACAGCTGTGATAGTTAATAGAATAATAGCTTACGTACTTCGAGGAAAGCGAGGGGGGTTGTCGTTGACATCCGTGAGGGTCACGGTGACCGACGTGGTTCCTGAGAGTCCTCCGTTTTGACCAACCATATCCTTTGCCTGAATAACAAGCAAATACTGGTCTTTAGCCTCTCTATCCATGTTTGGAAGGGCGGTCTTGATGACTCCTGTAAAATTTCAAATCCCAGTAAAATGCATCGTGATTCACTGAATTCACACTGGCCAAGAACACTGACATAGGTAGCAAGTCCCTCTTGAGATGTTGCCTTTTGGTGTTTTGTTTGTTTTTAATCATTTTAACGACCAAAGGGATATGATCATTACACAACATTACAAAACACAGAAAATGTTGTAATGTGGAAGAGTAGGGCTTCTCAACATTGGAGAGATTATCTTTAAGTTTTACTGAACATGGTTCAGGAAATACCAAGTTATAAATAACAAAACTAACTTCCTGGCTATAATAATGGGCAGCTGCGAGCACGAGTATCCGATAACAAACCTCTCCTTCTCTTTCCTCTTCTCCAACAACTTTATTCCCAGTGACATGAATCCCCTTCAGCTGTGGCCCCTACTATTTCTTTTTCAGCAAAATAATAGGAATGCTCTACACACAAAAAAAACCTGAGAGTTGTTTATGTCTAATAAGCAAACGCCATTTCAAACTGTGGCTATGATGCTGTGTGATCCTGTGCTGCATCCTAAGGTCTGAGGAAATCTGCTACAGGGGAGACTGACCGTGCTGATGGAAATCAACAACACTGAACATATTGGCATGCTTGGTTATTGTCTGTTGCTAATCAATTGCATTCACTATCGATAGCCCTTATTGCTGTAGGTGTATGACAAATTTGTTTCAGAATTTTTTTTATTTTAAATTAATTTTTTTTCCAAATACATCTGTCTCTGCCTTCCCCCCACCACATTCCCTTGCCCCCTCCCCACAATCCCTCCCTCAATCCTTCCCCTTTGGTTTTGTCCATGAGGCCTTGCTGTAAGTTCCTTGACTTTCCCTTCCCTTCCTTTTCCCCTGCCCACCTCTCCCTCCTTCCCTCTTGTCTCTGTTGATTTCTTTTCCTTTCAGTGTTGCTGGTCTTATTTTCCTTGTTTCAGAATTTCATGTTGCTTGATGGGAAAACTTGACTCAAAATTTACTGTTACAGTGAATTAGTTATTTTCATATTAATAACTGTATAATTTATTATGTAAGTATATTAGGCAATATCTAATTATGGGATGAAATTTAGTTTAACTATGTTATAGGTAAATATATAAAATGATATATATATCTCATATAATATACTTAGTATATGTACCTCTAGAAAATATTAATGAAAAAATGTACTTATTTAATAATGGCCTATAGACCGTAAAACTAACAACATGAAGTCATCTTAATTACTATATTATGCCATGTATAATGCACACATTTTTTACCAAATTTTTGAGGGAAAAATAAGGATGTGCATTATACATGGGTATGATTACATACCATGGGTACAATGATGGGTATAATAATTGCATGTATAATGCTCACAAAAAGTGGGTGCACATTACACGTGGAAAAATACAGTAATTAAATATAAGGGCTTCAGACTCCTGCTTAATCATTTCTTGCACTACCATCTTTCCATCAAAGACAATGCCCAACCTACGCACCTAGGGTGCTTCTGTTTATTCGTTTAGTTTGAAAAAGGTCCACTCTACTTTATTATGCAGATTCTAACTTTTAGGAAGAAGTCAGAATTTAAATCCTCCTGACTCAGACCTGAGGTAGAAGAGGTCTGGTATCATGGACTTTTCAAGGGAGAAATGGGGTTTTTTAATAGAGAATGGTTCCCCAGGAAGAAAGGTTACTTACAAACTTGGATAAAAGTGTTCAGCCTAAAAATAATTTCACAGCCACCCCAATTTTTAAAATTTAAGTTGTGTAAAGGCTGATTCTTTGATGGATACAGATAATAATAGTCTGTGTGTCTTATATTTCAGCTCTAAGTATAAGCTACAAGCCTAGGACATACTACACTAGGCCTGCCCTATACCTCACAATATTCTATAGTTCAGTAACTACTCTAAAAGTGGGGAGCAGATGAGAAAAGCTTTTCAATATTTAAGAATAACTGAAACAATGAATTATTGGTTCCTATAATTCCAAGTTAGATAATGCTCGTATTGTCTTAAGTAACCACATTTTTGTTTAGATGTGAGCACTAGGGATCAAAATACAAACACAGAAACAGACACATACACACACACACCCCCAACAATAACACCAATGTTTTGAGCATTTAAGTTATGCTTCGAGTAGACCAGGTTGTTTTTTTTTTAAATTGTGTTTGAACACTTATTCTAATACACTAATTGTGTTGGACACTGACACTACAATCACAACAACAGAGGATCACTTTAAACAAGGCCTTCACTGAATTCTTCTAGCTATTTACATGCTGATGATTCTATGAAAATGTCCTATCTGTTCCTCGATACTTCTGTTAACTCTGATATACCCCTCAGTGAGCACAGACCAAAGTAACCCTCACTGTGGCCAAGTTTAAACAATCTTCGGCTAAGAGTTCTAGAATTTACATATCTCCTTCTCTCTCTCTTCTTTTTAAAAAACATTTAATCATCCATTCTTCATTTGTAATGCATTTTTAAATAAATTGAGCACTGAATATCAACATTTTGACAGAGAAGTATGTTTCACCTAGATGACAAAATATTGAGTTTTTTAAAAATCTCCTACACATTATGTTTTAATTTCTATTCATTGTCCATTTTTCTTCCAGTTTCACTGTCTGTGAGTTTTCATCCCTGCACATTTGTTGTGATGGAGAGAGGCCCACAGCCTCTCAACTAGTCAGCCAAGAAAACACAGCAGCCTCAGCTTTCAGGGACTGGCTCAGAGGCACTGTTTTTGAAAGAAACACTGAATACTTAGTAGAGAAATCCAGCAGGCAAAGTCACTCATTTTTCACACCTGTAATTGTCTCTTTACAAGAGATCCTATAAATAACACTTTTCCAAAGCAAAAATCATGACAAGGTTTGCAAAGTAATGCAGATGGCAAAGGTAATTTCTAAATGCTTCAAATGTGAAACATATTTTTGACAAGAATGAAATAATTGGGAGAGAACTGAATTTAAATAGGGACGTGCCAAGGACGGTAGATTTATAGTTCTATGACTGTAGCTAGCTTTTGGCTCTTAAGCCTAAACTGTCTACACTGGGGAAAGAAGCCCCATATGCTGGACGGGGTTCACATTCTGCTGTGTAGTACACAGACACAGAGGCACACGGCCAGCCGTTAACACAATGGCTCTGAAGTGGTGAGGGAGAGTCACGCTAGTCGGATCCCTGCCGTTCATAAGAGTGCATGGAAGATACTAACATTTAATCTCAATAATCAATAATCGTAGCTACTCTCGAGGGAATATATCCTGTAGCTCTTTAGAAGACACTGGGCGACATTAAAATCTAATGGCTTTCTGAGTAACTTTTCATCTGACTCAGTAACCTGGAACTTTTCATTTATTTATAATCTGTGTTCACCAAAAGTATTACGCATATAAATTCATCACTGTCATTATTCAACAACTGCCTAGTTTTGAGACAAAAATAAATTTTGAGATGATTCTCTAATGGCCTGCCAGTCATTGATGACGTGTTGTTGTTGTTGTTTTTTTTTTTGCATATCCTGTTACCATGCAATTTCTTAGAATTTATGTGTATACCACACTAATGTAGGGAACCAAATGATCATTGGAGCTTTCATGTCTGCTCACTCAGGCTTTGGATTTGTCTCGGGAGTCCAGGCCATCATGTGACCTAGGTAACACGATGCTGAGGGTATTCGTTCTGTGGGTGCAACATTTATTAGGTAGGCAAGGTGGATCTCTTCCTAATAATCCGTATTTATTTCTAAATTTTCTAAGCCTTTTATTATTGGCCTTGTCTACTTTTGAGTGAAGCATAAAATAGAACCATAAAAAGATGGAGAAGAGCCGACAATAGTAAAGATGAAAGCTTCTGGAACATCAAAGAATTCCAGAGCTGGCAGCATCAAATAACCTGAAGAAGAGGGAGGGAGGTTTTCCGTAAGCCTTGCCATCAGTGAGGGACCAGCATGCCGTGAACCGTGTCCCCGAGTGGAGCACGAGGGAAGGGCGTATTTGGAAGGAGGGCGTGTAACACCCTGGGAGGGGCAACAGTAGGTTTACAGCTGTGAGTACACCACACAGAATTCATTCTGGCACCAGCAGTTATTATATTATTTTCCGTGTGGACAACTGTAAACCTACTTTTGCCCCCCTGCCCCGCCCCATATATCGCAGGCACCATGTAGTTGCTCCTCTATGTTTACCAAAGAGCTCCTACGTGACGAGTGCTATTTAATACTCAACCCATTTTGCAGGGCCGGCTTCATGGCCTTGTGACCTGGGCAGTCACACTGGTCCCAGGCTTGGTAGCTCTCTCTGTTGACAGCATCCTGAAATCCCACTAATTTTAGAACAAGAAGCCTGCATTTTCATTTTTAACCGCAGATTCGGTAGCCAATCTGCTACATGCGAAATAGACCAAGAAATGGGATCTCTTTGCTGGCAGGTTTAGAGAACAGACGAATACACTGCAGTGCTCCTCAGTCTGTCAGTAAACTGGGGGACACTGTGAAGGCCGGTGACAGGAATCTCTGCAGTCGGTCCTTTTTAACACTGCACTGTCTTGTTCCTAGTGCTCTTCTATCTACTTGTTGCAGTAAATTGTCAACATGGGTTTTTGCAGCTACTCACATTCTTGTTTCATGGGTGGAGAAATTAAGGGAGAAGGGACAGCCCCCGCCCCCCACCAGTCATTGGGCCTCTCGGCAGGGCTATGATGGACCGAGAGCTGGGCTGGGGCTTGTCGCAAGGCTAGGCTAATGCCATGGTATTACTAAGTAGTAATGGTGATTATTAATATTGCCTTTATTAATAATAATAAACACATTACCATTCTTTTTTAAAAGGTAATCAGAAATTTTAAAACTTAGAGAGATGTACCTAATAGTGGTTCCCTGGTCCATTCTTAACGTAATCTTCAGTGAGCATCTTTTCAATAATTTTTTCGTCAAAATTTTTACTTTCTTCTCAAAAACTCAGACTTGGAGATGAAGAAAATAATGTTATTTCTCATAGAGATAAGAATAATACTGACACCAAGTAAGGAAGTCTAACTCACATTTAATTTATAGCCCTTCATACCCTTTAGAACTGAAAATTTTCCATTTCTGTCAGAAAAATACATTTTGGGGAATAAAACGTGCCTTCTCCATATTATGAATTAGCAGAGAGGATAAAAATTCCCAGAACAGATTTGTACTAATGATTACAGACAGAAAAGTTCCACTGATTACAACACTAAAAATCCTAGGTAAAATTAAACTTTCTTCATCTCTTGTTATACACAATCCTTTAGAATCTGAAATTAAAATTAAGTTTGAAGTACTAATAATGTGCTCCCATGCAACAGACTATTGCCCAGGTAGTCAATCAGCAAGGCATTACCTACACGGGGTTTATGAAAAACCTATTAGCTTACAACAACGCTACGGTCACAAGCCCACCATTAACAGGAACAAAATATTTAACCCTTGGAATTAGTACAGTACGTGCTCTTTTTTTGACAGCTTATATAATGCAAGAATGTATAATTTGTCAGCAATTTGTCAGAGACTTGTCAATGTCTTTCTAGGCTGTGGAGAGTAGATATTCGAGGGAATGGGTGGGTGTTTGAATTCTAGTTCTTGGGTCGATCATTACATCAACCACCAGCCTGCCTTCTACATTCACAGGATTCACATCACAGAGAGAATACTTTCACTTTTTTCACCTTCACTAATTGCTTAATCAGAACTATTTCTTCTCTACTAGACTTTTCCAGGGGCTTCAAAACCTTACCACTACATTGGTGGAGAACATACAGTGCAGTCTCTGGAAATTATAATGAATGATGAGCTAGAATTAAACTCGCTTCTCTGTTCATGCATGAATACCACCGCCATTCTCTAGACATTTAAATTTTTGTCCCCCGCAGTGATGTGAGAATGAATTAATATTGCCATTTTTTTAAAAGACATGAAAAACAGGGTAACTGGCATTAAAATATTCATTTAGGATCATAGGTATTATCAAATATTTATAATCATAAACTTGGCTCATTGAAGAATTCTCCTCCAAGATAAAGGCAAAAGTGTTAAAACATAAGGAAGTTTTGGATTTTCACAGTGATAAAGAGAATCCATGGCACATGCCCACCCAAGTTCACACCCGCCCCCTCTTCCCGACACACAGAGCCAGAAAGTAGAGCTGATAAAATATTATCTGATAGCTGAGACACTGCTCCGAATTATACACCGACTTAATGTAAACGGCTTCAGCTTAAAAGCAAAACACACCGCCTAGCCAAACAACCACATATTCTATCTAGGCAACCTTGCAACTCAATTTTTTTTCTCTTAAAATGAAAAATTAGTCATTTAAATGAGTCTTTGATTTAGCAGATCCTCATCCTGCCTGTTATGTTTACACTAATTTGCCTGAGAACCCCAGCCTCTGGGAGGGTAAGCTGAACCCACCACTAACTCTGCTGCATGGCATGGAGATTTCTGCTTGAGAATCAGGTCTCACTGTGTGTAATTCCTCTGTGAATTAATTAAGGAATAGAAGCCAAAAATGAAACTTAAAGGTGAATAGTCAAGAGTTTCATATAGAGTCAGGAGATAGCAGTGGAAGGAGTTTTTAATACAAAATATCTTATAGGTAGGAATACTGATAAATATTTTTTTAAATATTCCTTTAAAAATGGTTTATTGTTGTTCAGTTACAGTTGTCCCCATTTTCCTCCATGGCTCTCCCCTGCCCTACCCGCCCCCAATCTCCCACATTCAATCCTCCCCCGCCACCCCGTTGTCTTTGTCCACGGGTCCTTTAAAAGGCGCTATTGTCTTTGTAAATAACTTGCTACTTATTACCACAGAACACATATGGAGAGAAGCACCATAAAAATGTTATCAGTGCCAACTACAGTGAGTAAAAAATAACTGCGAATTCTATGCCAGGATAGAAATGGTGACTTTCTAAGAAGCGTCGCATTTCAGCTTTTACCTGTCTTGGGTTCCACTGAGAAGTACGGCTGTCCTTGCAGAATGCTGTACACCACGCGGGCGCTGTTGCCATATGTAGGATCATCAGCATCTGTTGCTGTCACTTGTACCACTGAGGTCCCTGCATGCCAACCCAAAAACCGATGAATTAAAAACTTCCTAATGCCACCAAACATAGGCACTCACAAAAGGCTGGTAATTGCACATTACGTTTCTTTTTAATTTTGTGTTTTTCTTGTTTCAAAGCACATGAAAATTTGACAGCAATATGATAAATGCTAATTAAACCCTTAGAAATATTTAAGGGACATGAAAATAGATTGGCAAAAATATGAGATTGATGATGCCTTTTCGACTTGGAAATACTCAGAATGGGATGGGACTAAACTTTCTGGCATCTCATCCATCAGGGCGAGGTAACAAGTTTTTATCGAAAGCAATCTCTCCAAGCCTCAATCACTGTCCAGAAGACAGCGTGACAAATAAGAGCATCTTGACACACAAATCTCACTGCTGCAACTAAGCACAGCCAGGCAGGAACTGAAATTTCATTAATTGAATAAAGAATACTGGATTAATTAGTTGGGCACCCTATCTCTTCAGAAATAATTTTATTTATTTTTCATTTGTTTCTATTAATTAACTTAAAGCAAAAGCATGAAATGAAAATTTCAACCAAGCCCCCCAAAGGAGGAAAAGGATGACAACTTTAATAATTGCATTACTAGTTGTTTTTCTACATTTCAGATGCTAGAATGTCATATTGCTTCTTCATTTTACCACATATCCAGTTAATCCCCCATGGAAACCATTTAGTGTGCTCCATTCTTTTTATTTCTATTAGGAATGTAATACTGAAAATATTAGGTATGTGTGATTAGTTCATATATTTAAGCATGTGTTATTTTATCAATTACCTCCTATCTGACGGGAATGAGACAAGTCCTCTTTTTACTGATTCTTCTAAGAGTCAGGTTTGACTCTAATAATTTCTTGAAAATATGGCAGTTTACATCTAACAGTTTTAGATCTATCCCTACATAGATGTCCCTTCCTAAATGCCTTAAATAAGTCATTAACATCCATTTTGTAATAAATCTATTCTCATCTCCATCCCATGATTTCTTTACTACTTCCATTGTCTTTAAAATTAAGTGGAAATTACGAAGTAATAGATATGGCACCATTTTTCTTTTAAATTCTGAAGATTATTTCTGTTGTTCTATTTTTCTTGTTTTCTTTCCCTTCCTCCTTCCCTTCCTGCCTTTCTTTCCTTTGACATATGCCTCCTAGGACCAAATAGCAAATAATGTATATTTGAAAATTATTTTAAGAATTAAATTTTGATTTATTTTAAAACGTTACATTAAATGATATAGATGTTTTCTATAGTCTCTATAATGTGCCATCTCACAGATCTATTCATTCTAGTATGGGCAGTATTGATTTCTCACTTCATTACAAAAAAAAAAACCAAACTAAATAAACAAAATGGTGAACAAAATGGTGAAGTATACTTCAGGAAGTATGGCTATATATAATATATATTTTTCTGAAGTGTCCTTAATTTACTGTATACCCAGGGACATATCCTCAAATAACTTTAAATTTTCCATGCTTATCTATACTCTTCTGGCAATGAATAAGCAATCCTAAGGGTGTATATATGTTTTAAATCTTATATGGAAAAAGTAGCCTTGAATATTAAACACTGAAGGCTTGTGCTAACTAGTATATATATCATACTAGTTAGTGGTTATTATAACTACTTAGTTAGAAGTAAATACTTTGATAAACTATGACTGACTAAAAATCCATACAACCTATTTTATGTAGAACTTCACTGTTCTTAGTTCATATGTTGATGTTAGCCCAGTGATCTCAATTAGTGAGTTAAATGCTGAAGACTTTTGAAAATCATTTTCCAAAAAGTCTGAACCTGTTGGAATCAAACAAAAATCAAAAATGTCTTAACATGTGTGCATAATGATCATGCTGTGTGGTATAACATTGACACCATTGTCACCAAAGTGACAGGCCGTCCTTTAGCCTCTAAATAAGGTTCTCATTAACCCAGTTTGCATGTGAGAGTCCACGTAGGGAAGGAAGAGACGACCTCAGCAAGCGGGTGGAGAGCTCACTCAATGCCCGTGAAAATGGACTTGAATTCAATTGCCCTATCGCTCCTCACAACTTCCTTTTGGCTACACATCACTATTCTAGGGAGGGCAGTGTCTGCCTCCTCTTTTTTCTAAAACCTCCAGACTCTTGCTGCTGATGGTATCACTGCTGTTTTTGTTATTGTGGTTGAGCGACAACAGCATGAAACACTTTGAAGGTGCGGGCTCTCCAGAGGAAGTGTGAACAAGGCCCATGTGGTCAAAGACATGCTCACACAGAAGCTACCAGGGTGAAAACACGGCCAGTGCGGGTCACACTTTTCCTGAGCACAGCATCTATTCCACGGGCAGCAAGCACCAGGGTGCCCCAAACATTCTCCCCTCGCCCCTCTGACAATAACAGAAATCTCCGGTCACTGAATTCTGACTTCCCCTAAAGGGTGCACACAATACACATTTTTGCAATTCCACTTCCCAGGGCAGTAGACGTGTTGATAGACTCTTGCAATGAATGAAATGACCTTTGTTGAAAGTAAAACAAATCACACTGGGTAGAATTTTGTTAAAATACAGGTTTAATGATTATTTTAAATAAGCATCTTCCTTTGATACTAAAAACAACAGGAAATAAACACATAAAGCAACTGGTCTCTACTCTAGCCCCCTAGTGTTTTCTTGTTTTGTAACATCATCCATATTTAAACTGTATACTGGCTGAAACTATTCCAAAGGTACCACACATGAAATTTAAAACTGAGTTTACTATTATTTGATGTAAAGTATATACTAGAAGTACTTTACTTTCTATTTTTCCAGTAATTGGGCAATTTCAAAAGGCCTTGGAGCAAAACAACCCTCATCATTCCTTTATATATCTCAGACTGAGGATCACTCTCCCATTATTATAAATTCGATAAAAATTTTCATGCATTTAAGCTTCTGGAGAAAATAGAAAAAGATTAGTGGGTCCATGAGGATAGACATTTGTGGTTAAAGAATACTCGACAGCAAAGAGACCAGCAGATTCAAAGGACAGTCTGACCAGTCACTGTTGAGCTGCCTAATGCCCTGGCCACAGAGAGATGCTTAGAAGAGTTCATTATCCTGCTGTAAGCTGAGAAAAAAGGAAAGATCACCACAGGGCTGTGTCTGCAAAGATTTTCTTTTTTACTTCTTAGGCATCATTGTAATTATTACTTTTATATTTAGATTTCTTTTTTATTTATTAATTCTAGAGAGACTGAGGAAGGAGGGAGAAACATCAGTTTGTTGTTCTACTCATTTTTTTGCATTCATCGATGGACTTTTGCTTTGCATGCGCCCTGACCAAGGGTCGAACATGCACTCTTGGGAAATGGGGACAACATTTTTAAATTTTAAATTGGAAAGGAAATGTAAAAACTACGTCATTTCTTGAAGATATTGAGATAGCTGTGTAAAAGGGAGAACCCCCTAATTTTCCATAAAATAAAATAACGTGTTGAATAATAGGATCTGGATCCTGTTTCACTAACATGTCTCCAATGATGCCCTTGTCCTAACTGGCAATGGTTAGGCAAATATTAACGTGATTCTTCTTTTCAGAACATAGGATGATTTAATTTTGAATACAAGCCCCCTAAAATCAGACACTGCAGAAGCAGTGTGATCTTTACTTACCGACAGGAGACATTTCAGGAATCCCGGCAGTGTAGGGGCCGTCCAAGAATTTGGGTTCATTGTCATTGATGTCCTGGATCTTGATGACGAACTCAGACTCGGGCTCCACGGGCTTGTTGGTGAGCCTGTCCAGTGCCTGGGCTCGGAGCGTGTAGTAGGCCTGCTCCTCGCGGTCCAGCCTCTTGGTGGCATGAATGTCCCCAGTGTTCTCATCAATAATGAAAATGGAACTTGCCCCTTCGCCTGACAAGATGTATTTGATGGAACCATCTCCTTTATCAACATCAGAGTGAAGCTGGTGAAAAATTCATGTGAGATGAGATTAACTTACAAGAGAGTCAGCGATATGGAGATATGTAAAAATAATTCTTACGTCGGGCCGCAGCACACAAAATTATATTGGTCTTAGAAAGACAGGCTTGCACTTACTGTGCACAGCGGACCGGCTATTGGAAAGTGTCATCTTGCCCTGGAGAGCAAGACAATCTCATCTCTTCCTGTAAACAGTTTCATGTCTGAAGGTATTTTTTATCACTCCCACAGTTAGGAACTTGTGGTATCATTTCTGACTGGGGTCTGTCCTTGCCCATGTTAGACATTTTCCCTGAATTGAGTAGACATTCAGTAAACATGTATAATGGGTTGACTTGGTCTTATTCCAAGCAAAGGCACTTGCCATAGAACATCTCTAAACGTAGATCTACTCTGATATGTAATAGGCTTAGAATTCACTGCATTCTTTGAGGGCACCCCGTCCTCTCACCCCACACCCCTCTTCATGATGATCAATTATGGATATCTATGTCCATCGCTAAATTGGTCTCCAGATCGTGTTCTATCCCTTCAAATTTAAAGTTGAAAAAAATTACACTGCTCTCTGAAGTTGGGATTTTAAATCAATATGTGCCTGAGACTTCAACTAAAACCTTGCTGGAAATACCAAGAACTGCATTCGATTTGCATGGTTAACCCCACTACCGGCAGCAAGAGCAGCACGCCTGATTTGCATCTCATGTCTGGATCTGTCCCTCCTGTATGTCAGAACATTATGTTGAACAGAGGAACCTTAGGAAACTCAGCAATAATTACACGTTTTCCTGAACTTCATAACCTGAGAAAGCCAGGACACAATCTGTTATTTCAACCCACCCTCGTTCCCCAGAACTGCTATCATTCTGGACTTGGATTAATATGGATGCAAAAACCTCATTTACCAAATAACAAGCCTTTTTTTTTCCACTGTCCTACAGACCTCCGTTTCATTCTTTAAAAGACAAGGTGCTAAAATTATAAAATATGGGAAGTGACTGGGGAACATGCATACGTGGTGCATTTTCCTTCGGACGAGGTAGGGGCTGTGGAGGAGAGCGTTACTTCACACCATAGATTTCTGTTTAGTGCTTCTTCCATGGCACCCGAACAGCTGTGTTTATACTCTGCTTCAGAGTATTCAAATACCTGATTCATCCCTTAGTTTCTGTAGTTTTCAGTCAGGACTAAATAACACCAAAAATATGAATTTCTGGCACAAGGTATAATTTAGATTTGTCCAATGTGGAATTACGTAGTGGATCATGTCCTGGCTGTTTATCTAGCATGTGGAGAAGCTGTAGTCTTGAAATAGAGTGAAATCACTTAATTTTCCTAAGCCGTTCCCAGGTTCCTCTTATATGCACGTCTCCTTCTAATTTAAGACAAAGAAAGATGAGAATTATTATAGTTTGAATTACTGTGTGCTTCCTGTGTACAACGCACTGTTCTTAATATTCTCTATGCAGTAACTCATTCCATGCTCACATTATCATGGTATCATCCCTACTAACAGCTGAGGAAACTGAGGCACAGAAAGGCTAAGCATTCCACCTGAGGTCACACAGCCAGGTCTCTGTGGCTGCCTCAAGTCCTGGCCGGCTGCTGGACTGGCCGGCTGCTGGACAGCCCGGCCGCCACCTCTAGGGTGGGATCCTCCTGTGGGACACTGGCACATGCAACCTGCCCCCACCTAAGAGCTCCCCAAATCTTAAAGAAACTCAGCCATTCAGGTGGGCCCCATCCCCACACTGTATGACTTACCGGAAGGGTCCTTTCCTGGTGTTCTGTAACGGCCTTGAACTCTACTGCCCGCAACAACACAGCAAAAGACTTGAGACGAAGGCTGGTGACGGGTGGAAATAAGCTGTTTTTAAGCTACTAACCCAAGTACTGCCCTGTCCCCAGTTCCCATGGCCACTCTCCTAACGGTCCTCGCCTCCACCTGTGCCTCTCTGGGTTAGGAGTGTCTACACGCGATGGCTGGCTGTGGTGTGAAACGTTCAGGAAGATCCGATGGGCACAGACATACATGTGTCATACACAGGCCGCACCTTTAACCACAGGCCTGCTGTATCTCTAAATCAGATTAGGGAATCCCAGTCACAGAGCTGGCCCTTCAGACCCAGGTAACTAATCCCTGCCAGCCTGACTGCTGTCTCCAAGCCTCCCCCCGCCAACACACACAGACATACACTCTCTCAGACACACACACAATCTCATACATACTCTTTCACACTCTCACTCTCTCACGCTCACACTGTCTCTCATACACGCAGAGACATGCACACAAAGACACACATTCTCACACACACAGACACTCCCTCTCTCTCTCTCTCTCTCTCTCTCACACACACACACACACACACACACACACACACACCCCCATACATACACCAGTTTCTGGAGCCCTTGAACTTTATCATCCTCCCCAGCGCTTGGCACTTTGCCCCCAGCAAGGACCACCTCTAGGCTTAGAATCACTGCCAAAATTCACCAGCAGAAAATTGCTCTGAGTCTAAGCTCCGTGTCCTTGCAAGGTCAGGACAAACTGTGCACTTAAAGGTGGATGACTGACTTTGAAGTGTTAAGGTAGATGTATGATTATCAGATGCATTCAGACATTTAATCGGAGAGACTATGCACACTATAATATTCTTAATAGGTGGAGTGAGACCCATGATGTTACTGAAAATCTACCATCCTTTTGTTCGGAATGAGTATGTTTATTACAGAAAAATGTTGAAAGTGTAGAACTACCAATGGCATTCTTAAACTGAAAGGTATTTATGGAGGCACAGGTGCATGGGCGAACATGGACACACATACACACAGCAGGCATGTATACAACCATTGTCAATGACTGCCTGTTATAGATGGATAAATACCACTCTCCACAGAGAAAACTCTGTCTGGGGCAGAGGGTCATGAGGGGACATTCTACAGCCCCACCACATGGCAAATAAATTGATAAACGATACATGAAAAACACAATCAGAAACAAATATTTGCATTCTATTTGGGGTAGAGTAGAACTCACAACGTTATGCGCCTACTTCACTTGCAAATACCCATGTGAACACCTTGTGATTCACCTAAACAACAACAACAACAACAGAATCTTAGTTCATTAGTCACTAGACAAAATTCATCTGTGCTGCCTGGGTTCCTAATCATTTTCAAAATAGCTGTGACACCACAGTAAATATTCACATAATTATTAATAATTATTGCAAATGAGCACAAAGAGTGAGAAGCACAGACTCCTTCTCTGAGTCTGACTCATAAGAGGAAATAAAGAGCAGAGAAGGAAATACAACCAATACGTGAATCCCATCCCTCACTCTCTGTCAGCACCGTGTGTAATGAAGTAAGAAATACCAAACTGTGCTGGACTCTTCATAGTCTACATGGACCACGAATACAAAGCACACCTCACAGGCGCCCTGAAATATTATATGTTTCATAATTCATTATGCCTCCTGCCTGATGGGACACTGCCCACTATCTCTGTTATACTGACCCTTTCTTTTAATTTTCTCTGAATAACAATCCTAATTCGGAATCTTAAAATCTTTCACTCGGCCTGTTACAAAACTGCCCAGTTACTATCCTTTAATAACTCATGCCATCTAGGCTGTCATTGTGCTTGTCAGAAAACATCTCCCGAAAATATACATTGAGTTATATCACACCCTCATCACGTACATTTAATTGCTTCCCACGATGGATGGACTTAGCCCCAGTTCTAAGCATGGGGTTCCACATGGCCATGTGCCATCGCCCTGGTCTCTCTTTTCCAGCTCCAAAGTCGGCCTGGGTTCCCCAGTGCCTGAGCAGAGCAAGCATTTCTATCCTTTTCAAAAGTTCCCCCCTATCCTTCACCTACCTGCCTGCCAATGCCATCCAAGTTCCCTTGCACTAAGGCCTTAACAGTTCCCCCGCTGTCCTCTATGGCAGGTTGTTTGAATTTCTACAACAATTCATCTAACTCTGCTTTATACTGAAAACCTGCTTTCACTATTTTCATATCTAATCCCTTCCTTAACTTATGAACTCCTTAAGAGCTAGATTCTTTTTATCGTCACATTCCACATTCTCAATAAACAATTTGTTGTACTAAATTTAGCAAGTGTATAATCCACTTTGTAAAAACGGTCCTGCTTGTTTTCTTTCCATTTCTATCCTTTAAAGCTTTAACAGTATTAGGCAAAAAGAAAACAAACTAAACAAACAAACAAAAATACAACCTACATCTCTGGTTTGTTCTCCTTACTCCTCTGAACTGTCCAGATGGAGGGAGGATACTTGTTCTGTCTACCCAAGGCAACATTTGGCATGTTGTTTTGTACCAGCACATTTACATGCCTGTATCCCCTGGAGACAGAGCCCTGTAGGGGCAGATATGATTACACACTCTCTCTCTCTCTCTCTCTCTCTCTCTCTCTCTTCCCTCCCAAGAGGGTTTTATAGACCCCTGGATGCCCCTGGATGACAGAGCCAACATGTTCTTGATTAATTTTTATATACCACTTACTTCTCTTTTATTTAAGATTATAAAGACCAAAATGACAAACAGATCAATGCATTACAGTTCTGACAATTTTCTTACAGATATTTAATCAGCAAGGGCCTGATACAAATTAATGAACTACCTGGTCTAGTACTTTCATATGCTTAACGAAAAGTCTGAAAATGGCAACTATTACTCAATTTAGTAAAGACTAAGGCAAAAAACAAACAAACATACAAACAAAAAAAGCCCAAATATATCAATCACCTCTTCTTCCTTCTAGGAACATCTTAAACTCTGCTTGTTATCATCTTACTGATGACCTGGTCTTTACTCTGATTCTTAGCCAACTTGTCTATAAAATGGAGATAAAATATATGCACTTGAAAACGGAGTTGTTATCACTGTGGCAACTAGTGGAGATGATGCAGCAGAATGTAACTCAAGGGGAAGTGACTACAACATCAGAATTG